CCTGAGATGGCTCGGTACTACACCAGGACTCAGCTATTGCGGACCCAAATTGGAGTGAGAGGGGGGAACTCCTTCACATGCTCTGCCAGCTGTGCCAGACCCCAATTGCTGCCTACATGAAGTCCCCAAAAGCAGTCCCCTGGGGTCTGCAGCACAATTCGTACCCCGTTCATTTGGGGTCATCAGGAGAACGCTCCAGCTTATCGACGTCTTGCGAATTCTCAGTAAGGACAGTGATAAGTCTTTGCCGAGAGGTACAAAGTCATGTAAGCAATGGAGAGTGCAGACCAGCTGCATGCACATGAGTGCCTGTTGTACATGTGGGGTGGCTGCTGCTCTCACATATCCTGGCTTTAATCAGGAACAACTCCGCATAAGCCTGCAGTGTAACACAGATTGGGGCTGGGGTTCAGCTCAGCAAACACAGCAGTCGCCGTTCTCAGGACAGACTCTGGGTGAGGCACTAGAGGACAACAAGCCTTGGACTTTATAGAGCCAGGCTCAAAGTCTGAAAGCCATGATGCTTCCCCACCACGAGAAAGCCCACGTTTTGTTATAGACACAAATCGAGACATGCTCCATCTAACACGGGACTCTGGATTCCCTCCTCTCCTGCTTGCATCCAGCTCCCTCCCACCTGCAAACCCTCCCGTGATATCCTGCAACTGTAAATCTAACAGCATGCCCCAGGGAAGTTGAGAGAACAGGTGATGATGTACAACAGACCAGGAAACGCAGCCTTCACCATGGAGCCATCAGTAGCCAAACGGCACTAGGGGATCCTTCAAACAACTATAAACACTTATGTTCTTAAGCCAAGGAGGTTCATCCAGGCTCGCAATTTGCAGTGGGACCATAATGTGTGAAGCCAAAAGCATGAATCAGATCTGGAGTGGAGCTGACACCATTGCTTTTCCGCTATTCAAGGATCACTGGCCCAATGGTCCTTGCTATTTTTATGCTTCCAGTAATAGAAAAGAATAAAGCTGCTTGCCTCATGCTCGGTCCTCTAGCAGGTCCCTGCCATCTGGAGGCTACGATGAAGTGACAAGCGCAGCCCCACCCCCGGTTATGCTAGAACAGGTATTTCTTACTGGAACACAAGGACGTTTTGCGAGGAGAGACCTCAGTCTCGAGAGCCACCTTCACCCCTGCCAGCTCCAGTCGCTGGAACTGCCCCTAGCCGCAAGCCAAAAGTTCTCTGAAGCAGTTTGCAGCCACAAGAAGTAAAGTGATGGGGTTGACTGGCTGGGTTTATACTTCTTACTCTGAATAAAACTGGGATACTTCAAGCCTTTAGATCTATGTCAGCCTTTTGCAGAAACTGTAGCCGTCAGCGTTTGGCCCAGGTGCACATGGGGAGTTTTGTGGAGAAACAGCCCTGAGTGGGCTCCTCACTTACCAGGACTCCTAAATAGGAGTATGGAAAGTAGATGAAGGGAATATGTGGGGTAAGGGGAAAGTGGCATAAAGCATTTCATTAACATGCCAGCTCCCCAGGCCTCTTTTGCTCTGCCAGCTGCACAGTGCTTGCTAAGCTCCCTTCCTGTGCACCCATCACAAGCTGACTTGCTGCTTCTTCATACCAGGGGGAGTTTCCCCAGCTCCTCCCCAAGGAACCGGGGAGACATCTCTCCTTCTGGCTCTTCCCTGGGTCCTCTCCGCCTCTGCCAGTTCCCCTCACAGGAGAACAGACCGGGCCACAGCTCTTCTGTGCTGTTCCATCACAAGAAACCCTGCTCTCCTCCCAAAATCTCCATTCTCTCACTTGCACAGTGACCCGTCTGATCATCTCAGTGACCACCTGACTGAAGGACAGTCATTCCTCCCCTCCCATTGTCACCTGCTCTTGACCCGCACAGAATGCCCCTGCCATTTCCCATGCAGCCCCTGTGCAGGGGCTGTGTAATGAGCTGCATGGCTCAGGGGCAGAAGCCCAGCTGCAGGGGGTTAAAAAGATAACAGCCCATGAAATGAGGCAGGAAGCCCAGCTGCAGCGGGGCTGGAGAGAGGAGTCTGCCTGCCCAGGAGCCCTGGCTCAGGTGAGAGGGATGATTGCTAGCCTTAGGGGGAAGTTAAAAGCTCCCAGGGAGGGGAGCAGAGAGACAGAGAGGAGGCTGGTATGCAGGGAGACAAGCACCAAGCCTCTCTCCCCAGAGCTGAAGAAAGACTGTAGGTTTTGCTTTTGTTTGTAATTCGCCTGCTGATGGTATTGCTTGTCTTGTCTGTTATGGGGACAAGCCTGCTCCCTGCAAAATAAGTGGACTGGAACTGAGAACTGACTTTCTGAGCAAGCTGGCTCCAGGGTTGGGATAAAAGAGAGACAACCTGCTACAGTCACCATGTCCCAGACTGGCTCACGCACTCTTTGGCAGGGTGCGGAGGGAGGGGGGAACAGTCAGAGAAGTAAGAAAGAAGGGAGAAAAACTGAAATGACAATCAAAGTTGGACAGGGAGCCGACCTCATGCCCACTTGGCACAGTGACAGTGCTGCTGTAATGGCTCTGCCGCTCTTACCTCGGTGCCAGGAGCTGAGACTTAGTCCCTGAGGGAGAAATGAGATTGATCTGCAGGTCCCCACGGCGTGGGTGGGAGATGCTGATTCTCACAACAACGTGCTCCAGGTACACCACGCGCTGGTCAGGGTGGTCGGCGCAGGCACTGGTCAGCGTGGTGGCGCGCACTGGCTGGTTGGGGCGGATGTACCTGGACAAGAAGACAAGGCAGTTTGCAATGGAGAGGACAGCGAGTCACCAGTGGGGTGGGGCAACCAGGAAAGCAAGACAATGGGCATGTGTAGGGGAGCTACTGGTTGTGATTCGTGGGGCCCTGCTACCTTGTCCGAGGTGATTCTTCACTGCAATACCACGGTTCCCTTCAGCACCACGTGTCCCCACCGGCAGCCAGCTCAAGGGGGATTTCATTAAGTAACTCACAGCCTTGCAGGCAGCCAACCCTCAAACTCAAACGCAAAGAAATCATAGAAAATTCAGGTTGGAAGGGACCTCAGGGGGGTCACATCTAGTCCAACCCCCTGCTCAAAGCAGGACCAGCCCCAGTTAGATTATCTCAGCCAAGGCTTTGTCTAGCTGGGTCTTAAAAACCTCCAAGGGTGGATTTCCACAACCTGTCTGGGGTACTTGTCCCAGTGCTTTACTACCCTTGTGAGAGAGTTTTTCCTAATATCCAGCCTAAACTTCCTTTGCAGCAACTTGAGCCCATTGCTCCCGGTTCTGCCATCTGCCCCCACTGAGACCAGTCCAGCTCCATCCTCTTTCGAGCCACCCTTCATGTAGTCGAAGGCTGCTATTAAATCCTTCCTCCGTCTTCTCTTCCCCATGCTAAATCAGCCCAGTTCCCTCAGCCTCTCCTCACAAGTCATGTCTCCCAGCCTCCTATCCATTTTCATTGCCCTCCACTGGACTCTCTCCAATTTGTCCACATCCTTTCTGTAGTGGGGCGCCCAAAACTGAACACTGGGACTCCAGGTGTGGCCTCGCCAGTGCCAATAGAGGAGAATAATCACTTCCCTTGTTCTGCTCCTACTAATGCAGCCCAGGATGCCATTAGCCTCCTTGGCAATGCAGGCACACTGCTGGCTTATTTCCAATTTATTGTCCACTGTAACCCCCAGGTCCTTTTCGGCAGAGCTGCTGCTTAGCCAGTGAGTCATAACCCAGTTGGAAAACCACTGCTCCAGTGCAATGATTCTCAGCCAGGGTGCCCTGGGCTGCCACCAGACCCTTTCAAGGGTGCCAAGGATAAGTATATAAGCTAAACAAATAAGCCAGTCCCAATGGCAGGTCCCACTAACTACTGAAAAGAACCAGGAGGAGACACAGGACACTAGAGCAGCCCTTTTGGACATGCTTGGGCGGGACTGATCATCACTCATAGCAGCTGCTCTCGGGACCCCTCTGCACAGCCCAGCCAGGCAGGCTCAGTGCTTGCTCACATCTCGACGGTGCCCTTACAGCTGAGCCCTGCGAGCCGAAGAGCCTGCATTCTCCACGGCAGAGATAATCACCACCGACGAACAGGTGCATTCCCCGCACAGTTCTCAGTCATGTTGTTAATGCACCATTTATTAGAGGGAGCAGCCTCTATTATTCCCCTGATTTCCTTTGGGGCCATCTCTGAGCACATGCTCAGGGCTCTCGCAGGGATTACATTGCTTGGCCTTGTTTTGCCTCAGTCATAAAAAATAATCCAAATGGCTATAAACAGTGATGTCATTCCCTAGGAGGACTGGTAAGTATTTGAAAACATTATTTGCATTCACCATGAGCGAAATTCAAGACGTTGCCTCTTCTCATTACTGGCTTCAAAAAGCCTTAGCCTCTGCGGGCCAGATTTTCAAAGGAATCAAGGTGTCTGACTTGTGTCCGTGTCAGCAGGAGGCATCTGCCTCAAACCTGGGACAATCTGCCTCTTTTTAGGGATTTAACTCTCACTGATTTCTCTGGAAGTGAAGCACCTAAATGCCTTTTTTTAAAAACAGACCTGTATATCTAATGGTATCTATCAACTACTCCTTCTGGTCCAATATCACGGTAGCATGGACATTGTAATACATCAAGAAGCACCTTTCAGAGCCAGGTTATGCCTGGACCCAGGCTTCTTGCTATTTGTAGTGTTTCAGGTTTTCCTAAGTGAATCAGAGCCCACGACGTGCCTTCGCTTTCAGCTCCAAACTGAACTTGAAGGCGGCAGACAGGCGATCCAAGGAGCCCGGTGTCATGCAGGTGTCAGGCGTATAATTACTCCGTTCTGCAGAAACACTTGGAGGAAAACACCACAGCAGAGTCTGGGGAAAACCTCTGGAAAAACGACCTGCCCCACTGGCTACATCCAGTACCCTGCTATATTAGGATTAGCCTACGCTGCTTTCTGTGAATGCTCCAAGAAAAACCACCAAGCCAAAGCTTATTCCTGGTCCTCTTCCAGCTTCAAGACTGTTTACTCAATTTAGTAATTAGAAACACTCAACACCATCTTCGCTCCATGCAGAAAGCTGAGTACAAAAATTGTTTAACCCAACCTAGAAATAGTTTGAAGATCTAACAAATCCAGCGATTTTGTGACACGGCCAAAAGAAGTGATGCTGGGTTACAGGACCCTCCACACTGGCTGCAGAACTTGAATTCACTCCTATCTGACTTCAGAGGTAATACTCAAAACTCTCATGAGCCATGAAGATGCATGGTGCAGTTCACCACTCCTGATTTACACCAGGGAAACTTCCCCTGAAATCCCTGGTGGTGACACTCAAGTGAAGCTGGAGTAATGATGAACGGGTAGGATGAGACAACCCCATCAGCAAGGCGTGAAAATAGTGTGGGTGCAACTCAGAATGATCCTAGCTTTCAAACGCAAAGACAAAGGCTCTGAATACAATCACACTGACATCCTCGAATATAATCACTCTCTCACAAAGGAGCCCTGGATACCCTCTGCTGTGCACTTGCAGCAAGAGAAAAGATCAATGGCCCTAAGGATGATAAGACCATACGGCTGGAAGGGATCTCACCAGGTCATCTAGTCTAACCCTTCGCTCCAGGCAGGATCATCTCTGACTAAACCACCCCAGCCAAGCGTCTGCCCAGCCCGTTCTTGAAAATGTCTAGGGATGGAGAGTCCACAACTTGCCTAGGCAGCCTCTTCCAACTCTTAACCACCATTGTAGTGAGCAGACGGAGACAAGATAAGGACGCAGAACCTGAATTTAATGTTCATGCCATTGCAATCTTTCCAGGGAAAAAAATTTTGCCCTCTTGGCTTAGAGAAGTGCTGGAGGTGGGAAAGGACCTAGCGATCCAGATGTACATACACACAGCTCATTCAGTAACTACTGGGATTCGTTGTCCTCTTCCTGTCTGTCTGTAATCCTTATCTGCATCCTATTCAAATGTAGGCTGTATGTTTCCAGGGCAGAGTCTGGGCGTAACCTGGCCAGTGAGACGCCATGTACATTGGAGGGGTCTCAAAGCATATTTGTTTCCCTCCGAGTGTATGCATGTGTGCACACAAGTATGTGCATCACTTATGCACACTAACAGATTGATATATATGTAGAAAGATGGATGGAAACCCTCCCTACATTCACAGACACTGCATGCAAGGTAGATCTCCCCGACTAAAGCTAAGTCAGACAGAAAGACAAGGAGCGTGATGGGCCGTTGAATGGACCTCAAAGCTGGGGAGCATTTGCTTTGCCTGCCAGCCTCAACTAGGTTTTCCCAGAGACCAGGAAAACTATTTGGATTGTTTTGCTCAATCATTGTTTCTTATTGCTTCACAGCAAACAGCAAATCAATGCAATCTGCATCACAGTATACACGACCTACACCCCCATCTGCATCACAATACGCTCCACTGGAGCTGTGATGGAGCAAAGTGCTCAATGATAACGAGAGGCTTTTGAATGTCTTGAAGATCCAGGAGTTGTGGGTCACAAACTTTGATCTGGTAGTATTATGGGGGAAGCATTTCTCTCTGGGCTGGAATGAGCATGCTTATCAGATAAATTGCTTTATGAATGAACCTGGCTCCAAATTCCTAGCTTCACATCCCTTCATTTTCCGGTGAAATAATGCTCTTTAATGAGTGCATCGCCGTGCTGGGAAGGAGGCAGTGTCTTACCAGGAAGTTTGATTTTTTTTTTTTATGACTCAAACCCACTAATTTGGACGGATGGATGAATCTGCCCATGTCTGTCAATCAATTGGTTCCCGCAATGCAAAACACATCTGTATGCCTGTTTCCATTTAGGCTGTTATTTCAGTGCCTTGGCCAAGCAGAGATTTCCCGGATTTGAACAGAAATAGGAACTCCTCCAAAAAAGAGCCTGATCCACTGGCTTTCTGTTGACTTCAATAGGCTCTGGAGTAGGCATAAAGAAGAGCAGGGACACCTTCCACAAAACCCTGTTCACCTGAACCACGGTGGACTGGCTTTGACAGAAGAAGAGCAGGAAACTGGCTGGACTTTGAGCAGAGCAGTTATGATGACACACACCGCTTTCTGCTGGTGGAAGTGAACTCAGGATTAGTTAACGCCAGCAGAAACAAAGCCTCGGGTCAACAAGGACTGTCTTCTCCTACGCTGCCATGCTATGGAGACGCAGACTGCCATCCCTTCCTTTTAACTATGAGGTTTGACATCTCAGCAAAGGGCCTGTTTTCTTTGGCATCCATATGCTTGTCCACCCCAATCACATTTACTCTTTGCTCCTTCACCTAGCAGGGGAAAAGAGAATAAGTCCTGACGGCTGGAAGCTGAAACTAGGCAAACTCAAATGAGGCATCCGTGTCTAACAGTGAGGGAGATCAACCACCGCAACACATGAGCAAGGAAGGACGTCTTCAGATAAATCCTGAAGCCTTTCTGGAAAGCACATTTTGTTCAAAGACCAACCTCTGGCTTCAGTACAGGAGACAATGAATGAAACTCCAGGGTTATACAGGTCATATAAGGTGATCACGTCCATTTTGGCCTTAAAAAGCTATGAATCAATGACAAATGCACCTCTATGAGAAGCCCTGCTTTAAACGGTTCCTGCTCTTGGCATCTCCTCACCAACAAAGTCAAAGGTCCCCCACTGCTATCAGAGCTGTGCTCCCAATTTTGTTGATAGATTCATAGATGTAGGGTCGGAGGAGACCTGAGCAGATCATCAAGTCCGACCCCCTGCCCTGGGCAGGAATGAATACTGGGCTCATATGACCCCTGGTAAGTTTAAGCTCAAATGACCCCAGCTAGGTAGTTATCAAGCCTCCTTTTAAAGACCCCTAAGGTAGGAGCCAGCACCACTGGGTTACTGAGAAATGAGAGGGTTTCCCCCAACTTCTTCTACTTTGGGATCCTGACTGAGACAGATCAATCCTAAATCATTTCACCTATGTGCCGTTACCCCTGGTCCACCGGATCTCTCTCCACCAAAGATAAACCATGAAGGCAATCTGTCTTTTGGGGAAAGAGGAGGCAGAACACATTTCACTGCCTGGCAAATCCTGTTTGTGGTGCACAAGAATAAAAAAGCCATGCACGTATGCAGTCAGCACGGGGGAACAGCTGCACTTCGACTCGGGAGAGGGGGATCCGATTCCAGCTTCTAAAGGATTGTGCGAGTCATGCCATCCTTTTAAACAAAGTCAAATCAAAGCATCCTCATACATTTGCACAGTAATACTGGGATCAAGGCTGGTTTGTCCACGGTGCGTTTGAGGCTTCTAGTCCCTGGATGTTGCCATCAGCTTACATACAGCATCTGTAGCAGCGCTCAGACTGGGACAGGTTAGATATTTGTTTAATAAAAGGTTTATTCAGTGACAAATGCAGTTGGGGGAGGGAAACTAAACTCTTTATGAATTTGGGCCAAATGTGTTTTGGCCAACACAAGCAAAAACAGAGAAAGAGATAGTGGGGGAGAAATAGAGAGAGAGAAATGTTTTAAATACGGAAAGATTTATTCTGACACATTTTTAAATTAAACATTTGGACTGATTTTTTAAAAACCAGAATGACCTTTTGTTTCAGAATTTAGCTTGATTTAATTTTTAAAAATCCACATAAAAACACCCAAGGACTATATGAATTTTTTTAACTTTTGACTTTTCTCAATTCTTCCCACTTTTGTTTCCCCAAATTCCTCCCCATATTAGACCACATTAATAGGAAAGAGCAGATGCATTGGTTTTATTACCTGGAACACAATGTGATTTTTGATGAGCATTAGCTATACATTACCTGTGCTACAATACAGATCCTCTCTGCCCTGACTCTTGTTTCCCCCAAGAAAAAAGCCATGTCACGTGTAACATTTTGTCCCTCTCCGATAAAGCATCCAAAAGCTCTAAGCAGCAAAATTAGCGGGTCTGCATAAAGTAGGGGTGGGCAAAATGTGGCCTGCGGGCCAGATGCAGCCCACCAGGCCATTCTATCTAGCCTGCGGGGCCCCGAAAATAAGTTAGAAAATTAATATTTATCTGCCCCTGGCCGCCTGTCATGTGGTCCTCGATGGCTTGCCAAAACTCAGTAAGTGGCCCTCCGCCCAAAAAATTGCCCGCCCCTGGCATAAACCCTTCTGTGCCCCGCTCTCATTCACACAATCGCAGAAAAGCTTACAGCTCATGGTAAACTCATGCTTATCATACCGAGCAGGGTCATACCGAGAAAAACTGGGGGTGGTTTCAACATGCCATGCCAAAATATACGTCCAGCTGCTTTTGATTGCTTGGGACAGCGTCCCAGAAATGGGCAAATATTCCTGACATGAAGTGTCCAGTGTCTCTAAGCACAAGCCTGGGGGTGGCATGGGATGGGGGGAGAAGTATGTAGAGCTCCCTTCCCTTTCTCTCTGGCACTCAACTGCTTCAGCACCCTGTGTCTCTCCTCCAGGGATGCCTGCTAGAGACAACCACAGGGCCTTCACTCGGGGCAGTGAGAACTGCACAGTCTAAATCCATTCATCCCAAAGATTTCTCAGCCCCGGGGCTCATGACACGTACCCTGGCTCATACTCACTTGTTTTTTCTATCTGAGCTGCCGATGCAGAGATGCTGGGGAGGTACCGCTTTCCATTTCTTTGCTTCTAATACAATCGCTTCTGCATTAACCAGGCCGAATCCATATAGATGGCTAACTGAAAAGACAGAAGACTCAGAAACCTACTTACTGAAAAGTAATAACACCTAGGAATCACCCGTGGAGGGGCAAAAAATGCATTTGACTGGATTCTCAGAGGCAAAAAATATGCCAAGGAAGATACAGATGTCAGCTGTGATAGCCCAGACCAAGGGAAATACTACTTGTTAGATTCCCATCACCATCAAGTTAACCCTTCTGCAAAGGTTAGCCCTTCTGCAACCCCTAAAGATCAAGTTAACCCTTCTGCAAAGGTTAGCCCTTCTGCAACCCCTAAAGATCAAGTTAACCCTTCTGCAAAGGTTAGCCCTTCTGCAACCCCTAAAGATCAAGTTAACCCTTCTGCAAAGGTTAGCCCTTCTGCAACTCCTAAAGATCAAGTTAACCCTTCTGCAAAGGTCTTCCAGGTGAAAAGCCTCCTGCTCCGTATTCACACTCTGGGCAAGCAAGGCGGGGAACTGGTACTGAGTGTGAGCTCAACCCTGTGAGGGCAGCTGGAGCCCTCTGCGCTGCCTATGGGAGTGTCCTGCCCACCCATTCCCCCTCCCGCAGTGCAGGCCAAATCCCAGAAATGAGGTAAGGAGTCGGCTTCAAGCTGGCCTCCTCCACAAGTGCCACTCTCAGGCTCAGATGTGCCACTTGGCACGTGCTCAGGGTGGTCCAAGGCAGCAGCATCACCTCCTGTCTGGGATTTGGATTTGGTACTGGTCCCAGCTGGCACTTCTTGGCAGCAACCTCAGGGATGGGTGGCATGGAGGCAGTGGGAAATTGGTGCCATGGCGCCACAGTGCTGGAGGCTCTCATAAACAGTGCCGCAAGCCTCGATTTATGGTGCTGAGGCAGGGAAGTGGGCATATCCCCTCTGCACCCAGGAACTCGGGCACAAGCAAACTAGCTGAGCGGCTCATAGTGAAAATCCAGGTCTCCTTAGAAGGAGCCTCCCCACACAACCATCCTTCCTTTTAGAAAGCAGACAGCCCTCCTTCCCTGGCTCTGGGGCATGATGTTTAATAGGATCCTGGACGGGGTTTTATGTTCATCTTTGTGCTCTCACTTGTGATGCCATATCCGACTGAGTGAAGGTAGCCAGGCAGAGACTTCTGGATCAGACCAGCAGTCTGATTTAAGGAGAACGATTCAGTTCTCCAAACTTTTGATTTTTATTTTATGATTTCCTAACCCCCCTCAGCACAGGCCAGCTGTTGTCTGACAGCACAGGCAGCAGATGCTCAGGTCCCGTGGTTTGGGAACATCCCTGGATAAGCAGGCTTTTGCAAAGCTTATCAAACTGCAAATTATCCACTAACGGTTGCAATTTGCCAGCAAACCTTTGGTGAGAATAACAAAGAGGAATCTTAGAAATGGAGGGAAGAGCCCTGCCAGGGCTCAGGCTCCTGTGAATATTGATGTGTGCTAGCCCTTGTGATCCTTTTCTATGCAAATATTCTTGCAACTAAACTCTCCCCTGCCCCCCCACGCATTTGCAAATACATGAAGAGAAGGCAACACTAACACCACCAAAGGGAATCAGCAGATTTTAGTTGCAAGGACTTTTGTAAAGGCTCCCACTGAATTTGCCTAGCACTGGTTGTGTGATCCTTGGTGCCCTCCAATGGGTTTCAACTCTCAAGTATTCTTCTTATTTCTATTATTCCAAGTCTCAGAGGGGCTGGCCAAAACTGTTGCAAAAAGCTGTTGCATGAACACCCAGGAGGTTATATCTGAGGAGATCAGAATCCTTTCATATGTAAAGGGCCCCAGAGGAAATGGAAGTAGAGGAGAATTAAAGCATTGCAACAGAGCAGACAGGATTGTCCCAGTACCTATATGCAGTGTCTAAGATCTCTGCTATAGAGATGCTAATAAATCATTGGACTGGACTCTTAGAGGTGGCTGCAGTAAGACAGGCCATCTGTGTTTTGAAGCCATTCTTATGCCCCAGCCATTATCCGGAGGGAGTAACAAACCAGAGAGGACTGCTTGTGCTCTAGATCAATTTTCCACCATTACCGACTGACTATTTTGGCAGCCGTCACAATTTTTAACTCATTTGCTCTGGACTCCCACTGGCATTAACAGGAATTACACACAGGCAGTTTGACTCCCCCGGTTAGACCAATACACACAGTGTTACTGTGGTTACTATATTTTTGCTAATGCATGGAGCCCAGCTGATGTGGTGTTTGATCTGACTTTGCCAAGTTGCAAGGCTTTGCAATAGTACGGCACAGACCCTCCCAAAGGGCTTCTCCCGGGAGTGTGCGGACAGTGACATCGATGGCCTTGCTCTTCACCCTCTTCTCCATGTCTGTCCCTTTGCAGCAAATGTTGCTCAGTCCAACACCCCTCCCCTTTCCACCCCAGTCTGCCTCACCTTTGTGTCCTGCTCCATTTGTTTTCCAGTCAGGTGCTTTCAGATGTACCGGCCGGGACGTTCGAACAATCAGATGCTGAACATCTCTCCACGTCAGTAAAGGGCTAAAACAATAAAGGATGCAAAACAATGGAAATTATAGGAAGCCTTCACCATGCCAAAGTAGTGACTTTCAGCCAGCCCTACCTTGCCAGCTACGCTCTGCTCTGAACGTTTTGCAGTATGAGCAGGAGAGTGCAACCTTCCCTGCAGCAGAAACAGAGAGCACCCACCCCTGGATAACAGACTGACCTGCTTCTCCACCACCGTTACAGGAAATATAGCATAAACCCGTGATTAAAATGTTAATGGCATGGGTGACAATTGAAAGGATCCTGCCACTCCGCCCCATCTCCTCCGTGGGAATGGTTTCTGCAAGTCAGAGAGGTACCGGTCAAGGGGTGGCAGAATCGAGAGAAGCGGAGCCGAGCCAGGCACTGGATGGCATGGGTAATACAATGGCCAATACGTCTGCAATGAGTGCCTGCAAGCTATGCAGGACAAGGTTTTTTGGGTGAATCTGATATCTTTCATTAAGCCAACTTATATATTTAGCTCTCATGTTTAAGAACATAAACTGCTTGCCTCACAGACGTCAGGAAGGTCCATAAAGCAGTTTCTGATCTACACCGTAAAGCAGTTTCTACATTGGTCCGTCTTTCTCCAAAATACCAGGCACCGGTCAATGCATGAAGCATACTTGACCTGACACAGCAATGGCAATTTGGGGTAGATAATATTAGGAAGAACTTTCTGCCACCAAAGGCAGTTCAGCACCGGAAGAGGTTACCTATAGATACTGTGCAGTCTCCGTCACTTGAAGTTTTCAGTGCCAATTAGGCAAACATTTGCCTGGGATGGTTTGGATGGGGATGATCCTGCCCTGACTAGGGGGATGGAGAAGATGACTTGAGGGCCCTTCCAGCTGGAGTTTTCTGTGAGCCTGTAAGCCGACGGTATGAGGTGCTACACAGCAAACCCTGACTTCCTACAATAAACCCCGTGGGAAATAAACCACGTTCCTCGTTTAGGGTGAAAAACAAGCTTAAAATAGAGCTGATGTGGGATTTAAATAGCGCTTAGGCATCGTGCTGGTCCTCTGTACTGCAGTGAATTGTACTCAATTTGCACATTAACCATACATAAGAATTGCAGCTCAGAAATGTTTCACGAGCATTTTTTTGTGCTTTCTCCTACAGATGTTACTTAAGCAACTTGAGCTTTGATTTACAATTCTAAGCTGCACGTAGCAAAAGAAATTCAATGCATTTCTTCTTGGAATAATGGAATACCCCAGCGCTTGGCTTTCTCTCGTGTGTCGTGCCCTGGTACTTAATGTTGCATTTTATGTCCCGATTAAACATTCCAAAAATTACATCTGATTCTCCTAATTTATTTGTAATGGAAATTACATCTCCTGGAATGTATTCACCCAACATGGGTTCCTTGATTTAAAACAGAGCCAAGTACTGAAAAGCTGGTGGGGGTAATGAAAACAAAAGTTGCCAGCTATGCCAGCGTTTGTAATGCCAGCCATGAGGTCCATCGCATCAACATAATGACTTATTTGTCCCTCTGACTGTGCAATCACAGTCACTTATGGGTTATTCATGGCTGCAGGAGTTAGGAGTCACAGCCTGATGTTGCTTCCTGCTCTCTTGCGCTCCCCTAAAATAATACAGTTGAGAAGGTCTTCAAGACGCTTGTCTATGGAGAAACAAACGCTTCTTAGAAAAGAAATGTATAAGAGCCAGCCTTGCAATGGGATGAAGAGTGAAATCTTTTCAGAGGCTAAGTCCTATCAGCGTTCTGCCGGGGTTGGATCGTGCATCGGCAGATGTCGGCAGCAGCTTTGTTACACACAGCCCTCTAATAGCACAGGCTCAGACTTCAAAGGGAGCAGGATCAGGCCCATTAACTCCCCAGCTGCTCGGCAGTGGCCTCGGAGGGAATCAGCGGTCCCAAGCAAAATGCCTGTTTCCACGGAAAACACTTCCCACCGCCTTGTCTGAAACCAGAAGAGAAGCAGAGCCGGGCTGTGCAGCTGCTAGGTGGCTATGCCCTGCAGGGAGCCCGCGATGCCCACACGCCTGGATCCGCACCGGGCACCAGGAACTTGAACGATGCTGGAGCAAACCCTGACTGTTTTGGATGCTGGACCCTCCTCTCGCTCCACATGACACCAGGGCAGCTGCCATCCACAGAAGCCTTGCATCAGAAGACACCCCTAGGTTAGAAGAGGCAGGCCAGTGGCAAGGCACACGCAGCGAGGACAAGGCTTATCCCAAACTCATTCACCCGCTTCGTGACCTGGTGTGATGCAGCTGTTACGATCGTCAGGGTGTGCTCTTAAATTCAGCTGTTCAGAGCAGGGAAATGGTGGGGAGAGGGAGAAAGAGAGATGGCTAGAAAGGATGAGTTGAGTTGAGGAAGATCCCCTTTTTATCAAACATGGCTCATTTAATGCATGAAGCCGGCTGAAACGGTTCCCACCAAATGAGTTCCAGTTTTTGTTCCAAAGCCTCCGTACAGACAAAATGAAACATTTAGAGAGGGGGTGGAAAAAAAACCCGACAACATTGCTGATATTTTCCATCTTACATGCCATGCTTAGTCGACAGTGCATCAACATCACTTTTGAAGGAGCTAGCAAAACCTTTGGCCTACTGCAGTTGGTGTCATCTCGCTGCAGCAGCCAGGTTCTTGGGGGGAAAAAATCTGAAGAATCACATTGGTTTAAAAAAAAAAAAAGGCTTAAAACAGCTGTTTTGTGTAAGACGGGGACTGTTCAAACCTCATAAAATAGAAACAAGTTTGACATTTCCCATGAAACCATTTCCCCCCTTTCCACCAGCTCTGTTGAAAACACCTGTTCCTTCTCCTCGGTGGCGATTGTTTGCAACCCTGCTATTATTCTGAACTTTCAATGCAGCAATCTGTCGACAAAGGAAGGAAGGAGCGACTTACTTTGCTTCTAAGGCCAAGGCGATGATGCCAGCGACCATGGGTGCAGAGACGGAGGTTCCCGTGTGGCCATCTGTGCAGCGGTGCCTTAAATCCGTGGTAACCTAATGACAAAGTGATTGCAGCTAGTGACTGTGCAGATCTCTACGGAGATCTAAGATTACAAGACAGGCCAAGTCCTCTCTTGTGCACAGAAGGTTGCTGTACACAGATTAGCACTCAGGGATCAGAGTTTATTTAAGACCCAGCTGAACGGCTACTGATTGAAAGCCTCGACTGTGATGAGTCCCAAAGAGCCGTCACGTGGCTGGGAGCAGACTACATTGCAACCGTGCCAAAGGGTCCTACTTTGGGAATAAATCTCTACTTTGTTAGGTGCTGTGCATCATAGAAAGAGGATTCCTGCCCTAAGAAATGAAGAGTTATTAACAGTGGTCAGCGACCTTTTTGTGGCAGTGGGCCCAAATAACTTGGCTCAGGTCTGGGTGGGCTGGAGCAAGGGCCCAGTTACTGGCACTGCTAGCACTTCTCCTTGGCACCCGGCTGGAGCATGACTGGAGCGCCCACCCCCGGGTATGCCTGGGACTCTGCCAAAGCCCCCCGCTGCCCAAATGCAACCAAAGCCCGCTGGGTTTATGGGCCAGATCCACTGTCTTGGCAGGCTGGATCTGGCCTGCAGGCTGTAGGCTGTTGCCAGCCCCTGGTCTGTAATGCTGAAAGGCAACTGGTGGAGGTGCAATACAACGAGATGATAATGAGCAACAGAATACCAAGCACTCGGAGCAAACCACGTGCCTAAGAAGTGCGGAGGTTTTGTAGGCATCCCAGCAGAAGGAGGACAGTGAGGTTCATGGGGGGAGCAGGGCAGACGGCACAAAGAAAGTAACTGGAAAATTTGCAAAATGCAGGCACCTGCCCGCAAGAGCATCCCGATTTAGGAGACCAGGTTGGCGTGTACATTGCTCCAGCACTGGTGTCCCACGGAAATCACCAGCTGAGCACACACTGAGATTTAAGCAGATGGCTTTGTGAATCAGGGCCTTCGCAAAGCCCAGCAAGGATGCACATGGGATCAAAAGATGTATTTCACAAGCTCCCATCTTAAGTTGTGCTTCGGCTACTTTGCTGGAAAACAAAGATTTAAATTAGGGGAGAAACAACTGTGAGCAGTTTTGTCGAGGATCATGAACCTGTAGAAAGCTGTGCCTGGAAAACAAGCATCCACGCTGCACCGGGAAGCCTCAGGAGCAGGGACAGCATCTCCTGCATTACTGCGGTCAGATCAACACAAGTTTTCACTCTCCATCACTGCTGGGGTCCCAGGGAACAATAGCAAACTGCTATGGCCAGCCACAGCTGCAGGGCAGACAAATCTGTCTGCTGAGCCATTACCAGCTGGGAAGATGAGGATATGAGTATTGCCCCCATAACGATCTGGCTCATAGACATGCAGATGCCTGTAGGCATCAACTCAGCTAGTAACACCTTTCCCTCCATGTTCAAATCCCACCCGGGACTCAAGGTAGTTCTGAATGCCATCATTTAAACACATGAAGAGGAAAACACCACGTACATGCTTGCAGATGAGACGTTAAATCAGACATATCTGCACCCTAGGGCTGCCAGCACTCCCGGTTTTACCTTGAGCCCTATGATACTTAGCATTTTCCTTAAAGCCACCTCTCCTGGCATCAGCTTTCCTTTAACAAAAAAAAAAAAAGAAGAAGAAAAACTCCTTTCAAAGAAGTTTGGAAAAGGGAGCTCCAAAGGCTCAGAACCTGGGGCAAACCATCAATTACCTATTTATTTCTTTATTCAAAATCTTGCAGCTTTTAAGCAGATCTCAGGATTTGGGGCACCGCTCTCATGATTTTTGGAGACGACAGTTTTGCACCTGTCCAGGCAAAAGTTAAAGCAAAAAAATATCCAGCTGGATCAAAGCAGGTCTCCATCGCACCAGGCATTTTGCTACTTGAAGGTAACACCTGCTAAGCTGGTCAATAGTAGCCAGCTCTAGAGCACCGAGATCCTCTGGAGATGCAATGCGACTATCTGGGTATCAATTTATTCTTCAGAGGAGGCATCTGTTATATTGCCAAAGCAGCTGCTGTCTAGGGACAATATCTACAACCCATGGTGGTGTTTTTAGTTGCATGAGTTTTATAAAAGTTAACAGATAAGGTGTGGGCAGATCACTGGGTAGTTTTTTCCCCCTGGATGCTGTGTGCCTAGTGTCCCTTTCAGGGTTTGGATTGTTTTTTTGAAAACTTTTCAGATACTCTTAAAGCATGAAACTCCATCCTCTAGCTCCATTAGCTTGGGTAGGGAATGAGGAGAGCTGGGCAAACACTGGATTTTCCATCCATGGGAAATCTGTGTTTCAATCTTTGTTTCCATCCTGACTTAATAAGAAAAGGCTGAACTGCTGATTTTTCTTTTTGGTTTTATTTTGTTGGTGGAAGAAACAGCTGAGAAAAATGCCATGTAGCAAAATTAAAGTATATGGGCAAAACTAACAGTTTCCTGCAAAAAATTTGACTTTGCAAAAACTGCGTTTTCTGTCAATGGATAAATTTGATGGAAAAATTCCCAGCTAACTCCGGTACTGAGCAGTGCCAGTGAGTAACATCAACAAGGGCTATGTTTCAAATGATGCACAGGGAGTCTCCGAACCCAACGTCTTGCTTTTAGGAAGTGGCGTAAGCCGCTATGACTTGTCAGGCAATCAAGTTATCCAAACGGTCCATGGAGAGATTCATTTGAAGCCAGGGATGTTGTCCCACTTTTCTCTTAGAGGAAACCAAACAGGAAAAAGATGATCAAGTTTAGATAAATGGTTGTGGCCCAGACAGCTGTTCTGCTGGAGGTCAGGGTCCTTTTTAGCCACACTCAGGGTGACTGATCAGGCAATGCGATAAATCAGAGTTGCCAGAGCAAGGAGCTCGCTGAATGCGCGTCTGCTACATGAGACTAGCTCACATCCCACCCGGCTTCAGGCCAGCCCGTGGGCGTCCTGAATGCAAGCATCTTCCTGAGCCAGACCTGCTGCCTCGCGTCTCTGAGCTCCCCAGCAGAGAAGTGTGTCAGAGAAGAGGGTCCAACTTTTCAAACTATTACCTTCCCGAGCGAGCAAACGTTGCAGCCATGCACAATCTCCCCGCTGGGTTTGCAGCGTATAAAGCATCGATTCTGCTTCTACCAACGAATGTAAAAATAGGCATCCTTTATAAAGAGCCATTTCCTAGCAGAGATTGTGCAAATCAAGAGGCGTGGATTCACAGCTACAAAACACGGCCTTCCACCTCTACTGACATATCCAAGCTTTCTGTTTAAACAGCATGCATAAAACGGCCGTCTTAATTACACCACATTTACAGCGTGGGCTCTAAAAATCACTTTTAAGATTAAAAATGGTCTGTGGTTCAGACACACGAACCTTTCCTTTTAAGTCAGCATTAAATTCCTATTAACGTAATCAGAGCACAGATGCTGTAACACTCCCCACTGGTTTGCAATAATTGCACATAATGGCTGAGGGGAAGGAACCCATCCAACTTGTACCTATGGGGGAAAGTGCCAAGGAGGAAAGAAATAGCTCCTAGGTGTTTTTACCTGCTACCAAAGCAGTGCATGCACACGTCTCTCTCTAAACTTCTGGAGCACTATTTATTTTCATGATTAACTGGCTCCTGTTACTATACTATCTGATCACCGCACACCTTTACTGCACTCATCCTCCCAGCATGTCTCTGAGGTAGGGAACTGCCACTATTCCCATTTCACAGATAGGAATATGAGGTCCAGAGAGATCAAGTGACTTCCTGAGGTTGCTCAGGATCTCTGTAGCACAACAAGGACTTGAATTCAGGCAGACGGCTGGAACCACTGGACCACCCTTCCTCTCTGTTCCTCACCTCAAGCTACAGTGCAAGTAACTCAGAAACCAAATGAAAGCCATGCAGAAGGGAGGGCCCAGGACAGTATGTGTGCGGTCATATCGCTTTAGGAGGCCTGGAACATTGTACAGTTTTTCACTTATTAAGGAAATAAAAGAAGTCGGATTCTCTTCTCCTATTAGATGTCCTCTAAACTGGTTCCAGTGACACCCTCGGAGTGACATCAGTGTAAATCCCGAGAAACAAAGTGCAGAATCGAGTCTTAAAGGGCAGGTCCACACGTTCATTAATGTGCTTTTGCTAATGCACATTAAACTTAGCACCGCCATTGTGAGGTACTAGAAAAAGGTGCATTAGCCTTTTTAAAGTCCATTAGTGAATGCACATGGTTTTTCGTGACACTTTAATGCCCATTAAAATAAGCGCATGAGAACTAAAGCGCACAATCAGACGTGCCCAAAATTACAAGACGGGGTCCTGATCTTACAAACCCGCGCAGGCTTCAGCTTAAGAACAGGAGCAGCCCCACCGACTCGACACGGAGCACGTGGCCTCTGTGTTTTCAGGATTGAGGCTTCGCTGTAAAAGAAATCCCAAACAGCTAGAAACGTAAAAACCCAAAGCCAAATGAAAGTCTAATGAAGCATGGATTTTCACGGAAGGCACCAAATTGGAGGTACGGACTTCAAGCAGGGGTTTAGTCTTATAGCACAGCTTTCATTTTGAGGGAGCCTGCAGGGCTTTGCAAACTACACTCGCTCCGGTCACTGCTGCGCTGCAGTCTCCGCCGGGGTGAAGCCTAGCGACGGCACTAGCAGTACCCAGAAATTTTGAAAGACGGTGAGAGCACCTGAAGCTGAACTCTGCATCATTCAGCCGCACCTCACTCCCGCTGAACC